CTGAAAACGAACAAAAACTTCGAGGTAGTGAATGGGGCAACTTTGGCTTGGTTTACCGCTATGAGGGAAAAACACGGAGAGTTCCCAATGGTAGAGAGCATCTTACGTAAGAAGTCCAGCTAGCACAACGATTGCATCATAATGACTTGAAGGATTTCAAGGGTTGGTATCGCTCTTGGTCAGACAGATATGATATTCAATCGTACAAAGTAAGAAACAAGCCTTACTTTATAGGTCCGTGGGGAAAGTTTAGCGATACCACATGATGCAGTGGGCGAGTTTCGAACGGGGTTACTGCAGTTGATACAAGGATATGCTGAATGATATTTTCAATGTAGATGAAACAGCTTTGTATTAAAGGCAGCTCCAGAAAGAACATCAAGTTTGAAAGGAAACTCCACGATACCTACGAGGTATAGATAGAAGAAGCCTTCCATACGGTTACAATTCTCCAAAGAATGCATGGATGAAGTCCACGTTATTTCACAGTTAGCTGTCCGATGTCAATCGCAAAATCGTTTCTCAAAGGTGATCCATTCTATTATTTATGGACAACGCCCTCTTGCCATAACCAAACCGCAGTATTTTCCAACGTCAAACTAGTACGGCTGCCTCTGAACTGTTCCTCGATGGTACAACCAATGGATCAGAGCGCGATTTATTCTTTCGGAAACATCTACTGTAATATGTTTGGTCTTCGATCGAAGATGAGCAACGTATCATGAAAGCCGAGGTAAACATTCTCATGGCCATGCATCTGGTCAAGAAAGCTTGGGTGTCGGTGCACCCGCACATACTGATCAACACTTTCATGAAAGTAGGGTTAAAATCCACATTGACTCTGCCGGTGATGCAGCCACCAGAGGACAAATGCAATCTGATCGAGGACTTTACTCATTGTCTATTGATGACCGTCTTTTTGAAGAAGAAATCGCCTGGTTGGAATTTGATGATGATGGTCATTCGGTCCATCGATGGGCTCTGTCGCACTAACGTGAACGATAATCGCGATTGACTGGTAAGCGGGCGAGTGGGGTGAGATGTCCGACCCGAACGATCGATGAACACCGTCATGCGGACGAGCCGTGTGAATGAATGAACGATACTTTCACTTGTCCGAGAGCACGGATGAAATCAGACAGGTCACTTGCCAAAGGTCATCGTAACTCGGGTCTAAGGACAGTTTGGGAGATGCACTTTTAGTTTATGAATCGTTAACGCCTTGAGAGTTGCCGTAATTCCTGTAGGCTGGCGTCTGTGACCTTCGCTTGGCTGAACAAGAGTGAATTTCTTCCAAGTAAACTCCCGTCTCACGCCTACCGGAAAATCTGCGCGAGAACCCGCTTAAAAATAGTGCGTGTATCTTAGACGAGACAAACTTTGACCCAGTGTCATCATCGCTTGAACTTTTTCATTCCGAATCTCCCACATGGCGTATCGTTCCACAACCGATTCACCTGTAGTTATTATCCACCAATTAAGCGGTATCGGATTCAGAACTTATCCTCCTCCTATGCTGGCCCGAAAATCACACGATCGATCGGTCGGATAGGTCACCGCAACACGAAACCTGGGGCTTGTCCAGCTTGTCTACAACCTCGAGTCTGCAGCTAAACCGGTGAACTTCGGCTGTACAGGAGGCGTGCCTTCACCAGACGGATGGACGGAACGTGACAAAAAGACCATCACAAACAGTACAAGGAAATGTGAAACGATGGCGTAATCGGACTGTTGCACCATCCACATAGCAACATGATATTAAAGTGATGCTCGGACATCTTAAGTTGAGAAAGGTATGCTTTATGAATTACGTTATGGCATCACTAGTTGCAATTAGTTCGACCAACAGCGGTCATGATGAATGCATCGATCGGATTGAACATACAGTGGTAACAACAGAAGCGAACAAACGAATAAAAGTCTACAGACGCTAATGATGCACATTTTTCACTAGAAAATCATGAATAGATTGCATAGCGAACAATCAGTTTGAATATGGGAAAGAAGTCAATGTTCTGAGTAGACACCGTAACAGATACTTCACTCATTTTAGATGTTATGTCCTGCTCACTGTATTCGAACTGGTTCACCTTTGTTTTCATTGAATGACGTGATTATTATAGCTAAAACAGCTGTATATTATGGTGGACGTCATGTTATCAATTCTGTGCTTAGCCTAACGTAGCAACGGAATGGAGGAATATCTGGAATTAATATGAGATAATTGAGTCAGAAAAAGTTCCCCCGAAGAAAGGTAGGTTCTTTCGAGATAACTAGACACCTATGGCTGAAAACTGCATGCAAAGTACCCATATTAAGCTGAGGGAGTCACTAAAGATTTAAATTTCTTCGATACACACAGGCTACCCAGGACGGTAGATCTAAATTCCGTTATAAATAAACAGCTTATAATTATAAATATTGGGAACAACCAACGGGATTAGCCTATTTTTCATCGATCCGGTTTATTTTGCCACAAAACTGTCGACCGGTTTTTATACTACTTATAAGTATCTACTACTCTTTATTCTGCTGTCGCAGTTCCTGGAATTTACGAATTTACGGGTGCGACATAGCAGGAGATTGACTGTATTTGTCATGGTCAGTTCATGAATTCAACGAAAAACAGCTTGTTTCGTCACTCGGGATTTGATTTCGATATCTATATCCACTATCGCGTAGCCCGCTCGTAGTCTTCTTTGTCCACCGTGCATTCTGTCACTGATATGGGCCCAAGTTTTGATCTTAAGTGATCAAAAAAGATATATAATAAATGTAAAGACTAACAACATTGTACAGCAGCGTAATCTATTTGTGTTTACTACCAATCCGGTTAACTGTCGGATAGTGAAGTGGTTGGAAATCTGACGTTTTGTCTGTAAGGTCCCGATTCAATTTTCGGTTGGCTCGACAGATTCGAACCGAAATAAATGGAAAAATCTTAGCAGTTTAACTTGTGTTTTCTTTTATGTATTTGTGAAGAATTTTATTGTTATTTGATTCTATAGACCCTTGTCAATCTTGTAATCTGTTTCATATCTACCAATTTGTGTGGAGGATTCGTGGCGCGTATTTAGGTCATATTTTATATCGTTAGGTTGAGCAGTTTAAGAATCAGTATCTCACCGGTTTGCTGAGTTCGGACTGGTGGACGATAGAAAATGTGACGCTAACATGTTGGGGTTTCCGGGCTACGTCTCTTGAAACGATATTCTCGCCTCCGAAAGGTACCTGTAAATGGCTGCTCTTGGTGATATTCATTAAGCTGGCTCATCCAGGAGAGTACACTCACCCCGCACAAAAGTAAAGTGATGGTCTGTAGCACAGATACGACATCTGTTCTGCCGCAGAAGTTCACCCTGAATGCTTACTTTTGCTTTTGTGTGACTATCTCCCGAGTGAGGATAAGTTAGTTTTTTTATGTCTAACTGGGATCTGCGGCAAGGCCCGCGTACAATGAGCTCGTTTTAACGCCAGTTACGTGCTCTGAACATTCGAACATTGGAGGCCTAGGCCATCCGTATCTAATTTGATTGTACTAACCCAAGTCTTTAGCTGGTCTCCAAGGCGACATCGATTACTCAGGCAAGGTTTTGGTCACAGAATTTCCTTTGTATGTTCAGCTTTTGACCGGCGGAGGACAAGACCGAACCACTGAAGATAGCATCATTAAGACGAAACTGCACCTTACCGTGGTGTGATGGTTTGCGTATCTCTTTGACCCAACGAGCTACACAGGATAGCTTTGTCAAACCAGGGGATCTAATCATGCCTGGAGGGTCCAAGGATAGGGGTCAGACGAAGTTCAGTCTCCTGGTCCTCCTCTAGAATTTGCGTTTCAGTTGGTAAAAATGGTGGAGAAGTAATTGATCTAAGTAAATGGGCCTCCACTTCACTTTACCCACTGCCTTGAGGCTAGGTTCTTGGTTGAGAACCCTAATCGTTCTCCTGCTTAGTGGCTGGACACCCTAGCAGTACCCGTCCATCAAACCCCAATGCATGTGCAGCGTGAGTTTGGCAGCAATCAGTGAAGTTCGCTTTCCTGTATTTCGCTGTACGATGATGATGATGATGCATCATTGGAGAAAGGAGAGATGGCTTCCTCTATGTCCACACAATACTAAGACAAAGCGGAGTTCGAAACGTGGTCATAATACTTCATTTCAGTCATATGTCGGAGGCAACAGTGGTCTAAGCATTCGTTTTTTGTGTTATCCATTCATAGTGACCACGTTCCACAAGTGCATGTAAGGACAGGACGAACGGCAGCTCGACGAACGTGCAACTTTGTGTGGGGTTTATTTCACTGCGCAACTGCAAGAGTTTGCGAATTAGTAGAAATGCTCTCTTTGCGTAGGGAATACAAAGCTTGAATTCGTCACTGACTTGTCAGTTTGGCTGGATGACAGAGCCCAGGTAATTGTTCTAGTGTTTCACTGTTGCCATGTCCGAGTCTGGGGACGTTGTGAAGAACTTCGTTTTTGAGGTGTTTATCTCCAGACCCAAGGACGTTGGTTTCACATTCGACATGGTCAAGAATCGGCTGTAGACTTTCAGGATCGTCCCTTGAAGTGACAATATTGCCGGTAAATTCGAGATTAGCTGGTTTCGCAACAGATTTGAGATTCTCGACAATCGGTAAGAACACGACGAACTGCCCACTCTACGGTGTAGTTCAACTGGAGTGGGAACAGTTCTGGCGGACGCCCGAGACAAGCGTAAATTCCGTGGACTCTTCCCCATAAGCCAATTTCCGATCAGAAAGATAGAGAACCGGGTCTACAGGGATTTCAGTGGTCCAGTATCTAGCGAATGTTAAATTCATAGAAAACACAGCTTTGGCCTGATCCAACACTTGACTGACTCTCTTATTTACAATTAGTTATAACAAACAGTTAATTACCCATAGGTATTCCATGTTTCAAGAAAAATTTCGGCCACCCGACCATGTTAGTTAAAATCGTTTTCCTGAGATTTTTACAATACCGTCTTCTTTCCAATAAATCGGTAATATGAACAATTTACATCATTCTTTACCATACAATACCAAATCAAGGGCTATTGCAAATTCCAAGGCTGATTCAATATCCTCAAAAAGGAGACGCGAATAACCCATCTATTCCAGAGGCCTTTTACATCCTGAGTTATGTTGGAACGATGACGTAATACTATCACGGTTAGTTATTACCGACAACCCTCCGTTTTCCGACAATGTGACTTACTAACTAGACGTGAAGTCACAAGATTAGATAGCTGATATACACAAATACTAAAACGTGAGCAATTGGTAAAACTTACCTTCAGAGTGTGTAAAATACGACGCAATTCGATGAGCCTATCCAAAAGTCTCTGGCGTCTCTCCACAGTTTCGTTTGCCGAAGCCAAAACCATATGCTTCAACCGAAAAATTGCACTTTCCAGCTCGTCTATCGACGACTTTGAATCCACATGAATCTTTTGAGAGTAAGGAAATAAAAAAGTGGAGTGTAATGGGCAGGAAGAAGTGATGGGTTAAATGATCAGCGAACGAGCAGTGCCCATAAATTTGTGCCACTTTTGACGCCACAATGGCGTTATACTAGCCACGAGTGCTAATGATATCAACTCACCGACAATGTCGAACTACTTTAAGGTTCGGAACATTGGTTAATCTGGAGGAGGTATTCAGAAGGTTCGAAATTTCTATAATACACTTTTGCGTAGCACTGTCAGTATGTAATGGGAACAGCGCATCAGTACCAACAAAGTAAGACGGTGAATTTTCGGATCTCCTCATCATAACAGAATGTTTCAGGCAGAACCATTAAACAGCTTGCGCTGGCTCGGTTAGGCTCCCTGAATGTGGATCAATGTTAGCTCGTCCTGAGCTGGACCAGGACAGGCTAATACTTTTAGTTTCAGTTTTTCAAACCATTAACCATACACTTTCGAGCGCCGGTTTTGGTTCCTGCCTTATGGCTGCCCGTGTGAATGGAAGTACAGGATGAATACTAGAATGTTGAGAGAAAATTCAAGCGGAAGATAGCGAATTTATAAAGACTGCGGTTGCAAGAATGATGAGTAGATGAAAGAGCGCCACTGCTTGCGAAACCCAGTCATATCGGTGTCTCTAACCGGTGATCATCATCTCGGGGTCCCTAACGGGACCTATATAACCCAGTCTCCGGGTAAGGGTTTTCGTATAGTGTCTGAGGAAAAAGTTATAATGAAGCTGGGTCCGCAGTGTCACTCGGCTTTGTTCGAGGTAGCATACTTAGTCCTTGCACGACCAAGTGCTATCTGCAGAGAAACAGGAAGTTTACACGCTAGGAGCTGATGACAGATCGAGGGACTCATACGCCTTTTGGAGGATTTTCCATTAAGTGAGTAATGGAGGATTTGGTCCAATTTCAAAGGTGTATTCGTCGTGTATATAACAAATGAAGCGTGAAATGAAAAGCTAGGAAGCACTGGACAGCTGTTTCGACCTGGTTGGGTCTCATCAGCGGTGCGAATCCATCGAGCCAACTGGGGATCGAACCCGGGACCTCATTACTCATTGCTCACATTACCTAATTAGTCAGGTTGTGATTGTCTCCAATCGAGACCTTATCCAGCAGGCTAGTGCTGAGATGCGCAGGGTCTGTGCCCGGCACCAAGCTCAAAAAGATGGGTTATGTTATATAGTGTTAATGAAAAATGGAAAACGGTCTGATGAGCTGCCCGGTGGCTGAGGGGGTAGCGTACTCCCCTTCTGCCTTTGAGGTCCCTGGTTCCATTCCCAGTTGGGTCGGTGGACTCGCATTGCTGATGAGACCCAACCAGGTTAAACTAGTTGCCCAGTACTTCCAAGTTTTTCATTTTGCGCTCCATTAACCATATCCATGACGAATTTCCACTGTGAAATTTAATCGATTTCTCAATTACTCACATGAAATTTGATAATTCCTTGATCTGGTAATCTAATAACCTTTAACTCGCGGAGCATGAAGAGTTCGAATTGGATCACGGCTCAAGTCGAACATGCATCACACAATATACTGTCGGATGGATTTCCAATCAATGTGCTACAAAATTAGAAAGGAAGTTTCTAACCACGAAACATCCTATGACCCAATGAACCATGATCAATCATAAAGGGAATCGTGGATCATGGGGTTGTGATGAGTCCAAAATCAGCCCGATTTGGAGCGATGCTCGAATGACGTGATAAAAATTAACTGGGTTACCTTATGGTTACGTACACCAACGGTACAGTCTTTCTATTTTCGCGTGAATTTGTTTGCCTGAATAGCCGTTTGTCGTGCGAACAATCCCTACTTAATGAGACGTTGGATTGCAGTGAGCTCTGCGATCTCTCACGTCCGGAACTCAACAGTCATGAGTAAATACAGTTTAGTTGCTTAGGTTCTTGCAGGTCTTATTGAATGTTTTGTTTACTAGGTGGATGTTTTATGTCATATGTCATCTGGCAGGGCGTGCGCTGCACAAAACAGTAGGTAGCCTCTATGTGGGGGTTCAAATCCTATCTTAACTATTGAACTGTTCACAAATTAAACATACTATAATTTTGTTGTGTTATAATATCTTGGAACCCTTTTTTCTCTTGTATTTCCTCTGCACTTTAATTACAAAAAGCAACAGCGGTCATAACAAATAGAACGCGAGATGTCATTAGTGATTATGATATAGTTCGCTATTTTGCACACTCAAGAAGACATTTCTTGCTAAAAATGTTTGCTTGTGGTCCTTTAGAAATAGTTATAATATATAAGAAAAACATGTATCGTTTACCCTCTGTATAATACGCTTTGGTTATTTCTGTAGACTGGACACGTTTTTAAATATCAATAAAGACGTGCCCATGAGGATTCCATTCTGGAATGCGTTGTTTAGACCAGCTCGATCACTTTAATCGGTACTCAAAAAAACCGTGGGACGAAATAAGTAAAATAAAATGGATGGGTAAATAGAGAAAGAACATTGGCGAAAGAATGACAAAATGTTGTAAACTATTAATTCATTTGCAACGAATAAAGTAGTTTACAAATGTTATCTCATTCGTTCTGTTTATCTGGGGAATTAACCCCGTTATAAGAATCTGTGATAGTAATCTGAATAGACAGTCTCCGACATCTAACCTTCCCAATTTTCCGTGTATGTCAGTCCTGCGAATGATAGCTTCCTTCCTCCTGCGAACCGTTTGCATCATTCCATATCCTCGGTAGAACAAAGTACAAAAAGTAAAGCAATAACAATCATAACAATACCAAGAGTAATTTCATGTGAATCAGTAAATTGGCAAACGTTTAGACGAATTTGGTGTCGTCATGTGCAAGTGACTAACACAGAGTTAGTTTATTCTATTTTTTAGTGTGGAAGGGATAAAAGTCACAGCACTGCTCAATGCCATACACATGTACTTTGATGAAGCCCTATGCGAATGTATGATTCTTGATGATGGAGTAATTTGTTTTGGGTTTTCTTTCGAGTTACAGTGAGTTACGGTAAAATGAGCACACCGCATGGGATTTGAGTTGCTTTTCCCTCCCTCCCC